TTGTGAACACTTGAGGCGATGTTCTCTGTATATTGCGAATCCACTGAAATATTATTTCAGGCTAAAGCGAATGATGTCTTATTTGTATTTTATTTGGCACATATTAGTAATCGACGCAGGTAGATATCTAACAACACATCCCTGTTTAACGTCATATGTATATACAGGATGTGGCTGAAATAGTAGTGCAAGTGGTAAAGACTCCTTGTGCTAAAGTATTTTCATATATTTCTGCATAGACACCGTTTCTACTACAATTTCGGCCACACACTGTGCGATGTATACCTCCGTTCAAATATGATAATCATTCATTTAACGTACCCCAATACTATCTCTACAGAGATATCACTAACTAACACGACGTTGTTCCTACCATTGTTCCCATGCAACGCATAGTGTTCTCCTCGATTAATTTCCATTTATTTATTTATCTTTTTTTTGGAGATTTCTAGTACTTTGCATATATCATTATCAATAATCACACGTGTTCCCTGTAACTTAGTATTACATGTTTGTACTATCCATCATTCACGAAACATCATACTTTCATTACGTTTCATATCATACGTTGCATAAATTGTAAATTTCGTGTAATTTCAAGAAATTACCAGAGCAAAAATAGTCCACATTATAACGTACTAATGTTAACGAGATATTTTCCTAAATTAAACGACATCATACAAATGTATATCTTTACCAAAGCACATACTGTTATACTTGGTGGAAGAGCTTTAACTGTGGTCTTAAAATCAGACAGGCGTGTAAGAACATGAAATTCGATCGCCGAAACATCAGTTGAGTGAGATAAGGAGCTCAGTCTCGTTCAGTGCCGTACAATATCAACTGAGCACCTGTTCTTCCATTACAGTATATGTAAAAAAATTTGTATAGCATACAGTTGAAAAACTTTAACAATTAAATAAGAAAAGAGTCAGAATCCTAAGTGATGTAAACAGAAAAAAAGGTAGACACAGGTCTCTACTGATCCAATCACAGTCACTACACAGCTCACGTTTTTCTCAAGATTTGGGGAGCTTCTGTAAGATGCGTACAGCCCTGTATGCGGCTAGGTCAATCGATGTTTTCGCTTCACGTCGCGATTTACGACCGCGCTATATCTCTTCCACCAAATATACATATTATCAAAAAAAGAAGAACAAATATCTATGATTCGTACAAAAAAAAAATCAAAATAGAATAATTAAAGCAGGAAAACAAAGAATTACTTCGGAACACGTGAAATTAAAAAAAAAAAATCCAAAATCGGTATTTAGACACTGCATGTATCTGAAAGACGGTGCTTTATGGTTTGTTATTAACCATTGTTGGTACAGCGAAGGGACCGAGCCAGGCTAGAGAGCTACGCCGAGGAGCCTTCATCTTTGCTCCCAAATCTGAATCTGGTAAACATCAGCCATCCCACATTACAGCTTGCTACACTTGAAATGTCTCTTGTCGTTCGTACAATACAACACGAGCATGGTAAAACTAGTACGAAAAACGTGCCACGTTTTCAACATTTAATTATACTAGTTAAAACCTGAAAATTAGCATTTTCAAAGACGCTGTTTTCTATTATCATTACAATTGTTTAAACTATTTCCTCTAACTAAATTCTGAATAAATTTACACATTTACCTCACGTGATTTACATCTACAATCTTATCCCAAAGAAAAAGGAACTCTGTTTACTCTTATTTTCTGAATTATTAGAATAACGTAGATATCATCGAAAGTCGATTTACTTTGAAAATTTGGTCCGAAATGGAAACGATGCGATAAAATTGTCTCGTTATTGAACATTCCTTTCAAGTGTAGCAACGCTTTGCATGATCAGTCGTGCTGTTCGTAACCATCGTTCTTCCATGTCAATGCTTTTAGTATCATTCCTATGAAAATAATCCGTTTTATTTGGTTCACCGATTTTTCTTCGTTTTTTGTTATCCTAATCGTAATTTCGTGAAGTTTTCTATTTTATACATTTCTTTTCATCAGAATCACTTTCTCATGTCACGGTAGTTCTGATTTCGACAATCGCATTCACGATTTGAAGAATTTCCGACGACCGGAAACCAACGGCGAACCTTGGCGCTTTCCTGTTCCTAATCTATTGACGTAACATTTTCATTAATCGAAATGTGCCGTGTCAATGGGCACAGGAGTGTGCGTGCTTTGAAACCTTATTTTCGCATGAATCTCTCCCGAGTTTATATTTGTGATAATACCAGCACTTGAGAAAGCACTTACCGAATTCTCGTAATATTATTTTGACGTAATACTATATAATACCTCTGACACGATCTTGCAAAGCGGATGAAATTAGTGGCAAGGCTAACAGTTAAGGTCCTCGATAATGTACGGAGAAAATTTCATCGAATATAGAAATCTACTAGAGAATTTCGTCTGATATAGACATCTAGAGGCAGTTGAGTCAATTATACTTGCTGTTCGTAAAAAACCTACACTACCGGCCAAGTATTTGGAATCACTGTGCAAGTTGCACAAAAATTTCCAAAAAACGAAATTAGCACTTACAATAACTTTTTAACCAATTTTTTATCATTCGAATCGATCGAAGTGAGGTAAAGTGCCATTGATCTCCACAAGATCAATTTTAAATCGATAAAGAATTAATAGCAGATGCAATATTGATGTAAATTAGCAGGTGATTCCTAATTTTAAGCGTAACTTGACAAGGAGGATCCTACAGTCGGTCTCTCAGAGATTTTAATGAAATTTAGAGATCGAAAAATGGCACCTTAAAAAGTATTTCGGTAATTATCACCGATTTTTATTACCTTGAAATATGTTATCAAGATTAACATTTTGAACAATTTTCTCCTATAAATATAACCATCGTTCGGTTTTAGTTTCCAAGAATTATTGTCAAATGGCAAATTTCTCTCCCAAAATTTTTGACCATTATACGGTAACGCGATTTCTCTAATTTCGAAAGAAAAATCATGCGAGTAGAATTGCTCGAAATACACTTTGCAGTTAGCTATGCCACTTCTCTTCCACTTTGTCACCAAGAACGATATTAATAGACGAATTTCTGAAAATTCAAAATTATAACAGGCATGAGATTGATGTGTGTGCACGATTGGAAATTCTAGCTTCAGTAAGATACGAAGCGTTTACCAAAATGGTAACAAACGAACTACAGTATACTCTCCACAAGTGTCAGACCGCAAGGAAGCTAAACCTGACACTCATAGAGTCAGGGACTACGTTTTCGAGCCTCGCGCCCGCCTTTGTAGTTTGCCGAACGCAGACAAGGACAGCGAATAAAAAATAAGCATGAAACGTGAGTCCAGGCAACCAAGCGATTTAAATACCAACTTTTTTAATTTTACGTTTTTTTATCCCGAAATTTTTATTAACATATTGATGGGATTTTTCTGATGAAAATGACATCAAACACGACATAATTTGAACAACATTTACTTATTAACACGTTCACTGTCGCGCCAGATTTACAGATTGCTGTCAGGCGGCCACAAGAAAATACATTTTAAGCATAGGATTATAGTATTATGCTTTATAATTTTTTTTTTCAATTGAAAATAATGTCTAGCTAGCTATGACGTTCAAAATTTTTAGTTGACAACATTTATTTTATTTTAATTATTCTAAACATTTGAGGCACTCCAGTCACTGATGACCACCATGACCATATCGAGGAAACAATCTAACGTTAAAACTTATTGAGTGATTAATTTAATTTCATAATATATCGCTTTAACGAGCCACCGTTTGGTTGCCAATTGTTTATCACACAGAGTCGGCCTACTTCCACGTAAGAAAAAAAAAATATGTAGGGTCGATAGCAGCAGAAAAGCTGCTAAACAATTAGAATTAAATGTAACGATAGAAATTATTGCAATAATGCGTAATGCAATTGAAAA